CTTGCCTTCAGGAGTTAATGTTTTTAAAGAAAGTGTATAGACTTTATTATCAAAAATAAAAAAATATCTTTGAGAACATCTGTTTTTTTTGGGTTGGCAAAGGGATAGCGGAAAGAGTTTATTATTAACTTATATTTATTTAATATAGGTTTATTATATTTATTAATGTAGTTTTTGAAATTACATTTCATTTTTTTTACTTATAAAAAAAATCTAATTCATTCAAATTTTTTGATATTTTTTTCTCATATTTGTTTTTACTATATTTTATAAGTTTTTAATCAGATTTAAATTGAAGCTATTGACTAATTATTTAAAAACTTTAGAAATATATGATTTAAAATAAGATTTATAAGATAGTTTATATGTTTAGAATCATTGTTTTATTGAAACTATTATTCTTTTCCTATTAAATTTTTGATCTTTATTATATTTTCTTTTAATATATTAATATAAAATTCTGTATTTATTATTTTTTTGAAACAAAATAGATTGATTTTATTTGCCTTAGAAAATCCTTTTATGTAAATATTTTTTATTTATTTTAGAAATCTGATAAATCAATTTTTTTCCCTTATATTATTGTTCAACAATATTATAAAAAGATCTAAAATATAATCTTGTTTATAAAAAAAGTTTATTTTATTTGTCTTTTAAATATTTTTTGATTATTCCATACATTTTTCTTTTTATGCTTTGATAAGTATTGGTGATATTTCAGAAATGTTATTTTTAATACAACAATTAATTAAAATACTATTCTATCTAATTTTATTATCAAAGTTCTAATAGATATTAAAGATGTTTTTTTTATATAGCATCTGATTTTTTGTGATACTTTGTTTAAATATGTTTATAGATAATCAGTTCTTTTCAAATTTATTATTTTTTGGTTTTTTTGCAACTTATTAAAATTATAATAAATTGTTAAGATAAATATTTTTATTTTAATATATATTTTTCTTGTAATATATATAAAGATGGGTCCCTAAATTATTTGTGAGGACATAATTCAAATATCTCTTATTATTAAAAATTTTCATTTTTATATTAAGAAATATAAAAAAACCACCTACAAAGGTTCTTTATAGTTTTAAGCATCTATACAAATCATTTCTGGAATTATGTCCCTATTGAAATAAAGAGCTAGGAATTATGTCCTCTAGAGGACGTGGACGTAAAGGGACGTAAATTTTATATGCTAAATACTTTAGGGACCCATCTTTAAATATATATATACTTGTTTTAATAATATAAAATTAATTGATATTGATTATAAAGAGTGATAATAATTATTTTAGCTTGATAATTTAATTAAAGATCTATTTTTTAGTAAAAAATTTTTGTGATATATTTCTATTTAATTTTAATTAATAGCATATATACAAATCATAATAATTAAATTTTAAATACTTATAATTTATATTATATATATTTGAGATATAATATTTTTGTATATTATATTATAATTACAAATTTTTTAATTGATATTCAAGTTGTTGATTTTAAGAAAAATTTCAGAGATTATATAAAAATATTTATTTTTTTAAAAATAATTTCAAATAAATTAATTAAAAATTAGTATAAATATTTTTTATTTATTATTATTATTATTAATTAATAAAACATTAAGTTTATTAATTGAAAATATATAAACAAATTCAAGTTTATTAAAGAATTATATTTTAAAATTTGTTTTAAAATTATATAAATAGTAATTACTTATATAATATTTTAATATATATCTTTTAAGCTGTTTAGATTATTTGGATTATTTAATTTTTATAATATAAAAAACAATTAATAATTATATAGACTGTATTGATATTTGATCTATATTATATATGTTATAAATAATTATAATTATAGAATTAATAATAATACTAGTATTAAAAATAAAGAAAAAAATAATAATAATATTTGTTATAAAATAATTTATTTTATTACATATTTATTATATGTTTTATATAGTTAAAACTTTTTTGTTTAAAGTTTATTCAATATTGATAACTTATTATATATTAATTTGATTCAAAAACCTATATATATTGTATATATATTTTAAAAGATATAATTAATCCATTTAACTTGGAATTGTTTTAAAATTGTTTTTAAACAAATCTTTTTTTTAATTGATTTGATAACCAAGTAAGTATTATATTCTTTTTGTTTCTATTCATGAATTATCTTGTTATATCAGATAGTAATGATTTGTATATGTCTATTACTTGTTAATAAATTAATTTTATTTAAAATAAGATCTTAAATTAATATAATTTTATAAATATTTATAATAAATAAATATATAACAAAATTTAATAAAATCAATAAATAACTTTATTAAAAAATTATATAAAAATTATTGATAAATATTATATGCTGACTTATTTATTAATTTTATATACTGTCAAATCATTTACTTTTTGTTAAATTATTGATAAGATCATTATACAAATAGATTATTTTCAACTAATAATAACTTAAACTATAATACAAATTCGCGCTTCGACTCATTTATAATCTTCGATTCACCTACAGGGGGTGAAAAAATTAAGCATTACTTTTTTTAATATCGGATTGTCGCTATACCTATGTAGGTGACGAAAGTATTTTTTTTAAACTTCCCATAACATAACATTGATTGAGTTTTTAAAAAAATATATATACAATATATCGCTTCTACAGTATTTATTGTAATTTTGATAACATTTAAAAAAATGATGCATAATTTCTTCCCCCCCCCCCCTTGTATATCGCATGTAAAACCCGTCATTCAACTACGGGTCTTTCACCTAGTTATATAAAAAAACCCAATCATTTATTATTAATATACAGTATAAAAAAGATATGTCTTATTATATTTTAAATTTATTACAAGGTCACATGATCGATCTCTATGTATGCGCCTGCGTTTAGGAAAAGTAAAATGACCAATATCACCCTCAGCTGTCTTATTGTTTCTCGTGAGCAACTTCATGTTCTTCCACGCGATAGAGTTGTGCAATGCTTTCTTAGATATTCGTCAGGTTCATCACAATGAGACACCTAGGCCTTAATTTTTGAGGAACCTCGAGCAGACTATTTCCATGTCATCATACAGTCCGTCCGATAATTATAGATGAGATCGTGATCACGGCATTATTTTTTTCCTTTCTTTGTACCGATATTTTCTTAATGTGTACATCGAAAAGGATAAGGACGATTATCACATAGTATTTACCGAGAAGATAGATGTGGGAACTTCGCCGAGGTGTTAAAAAGGTTATGGGGGTAGTTGTTGATTCACCGGATGGTAAAAGAAATAAATGTGTAATCCGCAGACAATGCTCTAGTATAGACGTCATGTATCATGGGCTTCGTCCCGAAACCATTATACTTCATCCCGAACCGTATTAATGAAAAATTCTTTCTTAACGAACAAGTGGAATCACGTGATACTTGATTTTAAATGCAAATATCCTGTTTACAACGGGAATCATGGTGATTATGGAGTACCTGGTGAATGGTAATAGAAATGGAAAGGAAAAAAATTAGGAGATAATATTAAAGAACTTGTATTAAATTGAATTCGTAATCTGATGCTCATCACTTCTATTTCCAAAGGTGGCAGAAGTTCTACAGGGAAAATCCCAATGCAACATATTCTGAAAACGATAAGGGAGAGGAATTTCTCATGAGATACAGGATACAGGATACAGGATACATACAAGTACATTGATTAATAGTAGATCACATGAAAACGATAAAAGAAATTTGGTGCGCGGCCACGAGATAACTTTCATTAATTTCCGAGTGCATTCAACATTAATATTAAGTGCGTACGTAATTG